AAAGTCGACAATATCGCAGGGACACCTCAAAGAGTCACCATAATCGCAGAGACACTTCGGGAATTCACCATTATCACAGGAAGTTAAGTGTGTTAAACCCTGGCGACTGTGATCTTCAGGCCCATTTACTTAATAGATGGGAGAGGAGTCACGGGAAGGCCAGCGTTGTAGGAAGAGTATATTCTGTACAGAATGAATAGGAGAATAGGCAGTAGAAAATTAACTGTCAGAGGACCGCACAACCCCAAGTCAGCGGACGGCGCCTAAAGCGATGTCTGCTCGGCAGTCATCACATGAGATCGTGTGTGAGTCGGTCTATGATTGACTGTTACAAAGGCCGGAAACAGCGAGCCTCCCCAAAGTGCAAGATGGTTACGACAAGTGTTCATAAGTGCGCTTTGTGTGGAGCTAGCCACTACGGTCCTACAGGGCAATCTATTGCATTCCATGTCCTGGTTTTTTCTTTACGAGCCGACGCCTGAACAGAGAAAACTGGAGACTTGTTTCTCCACTAGCTTTCCAACCCTTCTGCGCTCATCAGAATGCTGCGTCCATGCCCGCTAACTGACGGGGATAAACTCTAGGACTCACAGCGTTTATACGGGATCTGGTTTAAACGGCAATGTAACGAAAAGAAAGAAACATTTAGAAAACAATATGCTGTGACTCTTAAGTAACATCAGCTGTTGTTGTTATGACCCGCGCCTGGTACACCGTATTAACACGAACTGTGAGCTAGCCCGAATACTGTCCCGAAAGCTCGCACGAGAGAACAGGAGGAGAAAATCGGCCACACGAGAAGCCCGCTAACACAAGCAAGTTAAGTCACCCTCGCAAAAAGGCTGCGTGTAGTGCTTCAGTCCGCTTGATGAGAAAACGTAGGCGGCAATGGACCAATCAGATAGGTCGGGAAATCGATAAACACGGTGAGCACTCTCATGGTAGCGGCGTGACAACTGCGCTCAGGGCACTTTTTGTGAGATGAGTCATCGTGGAAATGAAGGCATTACCAACAGTTGTCCCATATGCACATCTTTGCTCCCTGCGACATAAGACTCCGATTTAATTAGTTCGCGGCAAGAATTATATAAAGCGGGGCACTAGATTCCGTTATCTGTTAATTGTTTTATCTTTGCTGTTTTTTTTTCAGTTACTCGGGTCATACCGGTTAGTAAGTTGGTTGGCGTACTCTTCCATTAATACATTAGTAAAGAAGTCCGTAGGAAAGTTAATTTTTAGGGGGGGGGAGGGTTTAGCAGACATGCTTAAGCCAGTTTACCCATGAAAAATTTGCAACCACACAGCAGGGAAGGCTTTTGCGCAGTCAACGCTCTACCAATGAGCCACTGCTCGTATGGAATCCTAAGCAATCCTTTATAATCCTTCAGAATGACAACTAAGCACATTTAATTGTTTATTGTAACGCGAAAAGGAACTGATTATTCTTTCCGTTTCTTCGCCTACCACCCCTCTTCTCTAGACCGTTTGCACCGGTGACCACGGAAGCAGTCTGTACTGCCTCAATTCAAAAACTGACCGTTGGTTCCTTCACGGAGTCACTGGACAGCATTGGCGCCATCGTTGCAGTGACGCCTACAGCCTCTTCAATTCAGTCCCCAGTGTCACAGCCTGGATCCATCAACACATTCAATAAATAATCGAATCATCTCCCTCCTTTAGGATAATTAGCATTACTCGGCCTCCGGCAGATCAGCCCCGTGAAACGATTTCTAACCATCAATTTGCCTATCCATATGTGATTAAACATCTCTTTCTCAAACAATCCTCATAAATACAGCTGTATACTTTTTGTCAGGTAGGTGCCCGTTCGGGGTATCTAAAAGCATTAATATATTGGTCATGTACCTGACTATTTGCGTAAGAGTACCTAGCACCAAAAGCTTGCGTGACCCTTCTACCTTGGTAAGGAAAAGGAACCCTAACGAGCACAATGAATAGCTCAAAAGAAGAAGATGCGATCACTGGAACAATAATGCTATTTTTTCTGATGTTTCGGATTTTGTGGAGAATCATAGGCAATGGTAGAATGTTGTGCGACCCGCACAGATTGCGTGGTATTTATAGTTCATAACGGCCATCCGCATGCGTCCGATGATTATCACCTCATGTAACCACCGCGATTTCGTTGTCCTTGTCAGATGAGGACTGGATAATTTCGCGACAATTATGCTCGCTGTCGTCGGAGTTGTACCTAGGCCTAGCCCTTCCCACATGACTAATTCTCTTGCTCAGCCAATGTCTCAGTCCAGACTATGGGAAGGGCAATTCGTTGCGCTTGTTCATGGACTCGGGGTCTGAG